ACACAAGCAATGGGGAAAGGATTCCCTGTTTAATAAACGGTGTTGGGAAAACTGGCTAGCCATATGCAGGAAGCTGAAACTGGACCCCTTCCTTACACCTTATAAAAACATTACTCCAGATAAATTAAAGATTTAAACATAAGAACTAACACCATAAAAATCCTAGAAGAAAACCTAGGCAAAGCCATTCAGGACATAGGCACAGGCAAGGACATCATGACTAAAACACCAAAAGCAATGGCAACAAAAGTCAAAATAGACAAATGGGACCTAATTAAACTTAAGAGCTTCTGTACAGCAAAAGAAACAATCATTAAATGGACAACCAATAGAATGGGAGAAAATTTTTGCAATCTACCCATCAGACAAAGGGCTAATATCCAGAATCTACACAGAGCTGAAGCAGATTTACAAGAAAAAAACAAACAAACCCATGCAAAAGTGGGCGAAGGTTATGAACAGACACCTTCCAAAAGAAGATAAATATGCGGCCAACAAACATATGAAAAATTGCTCATCATTATTGGTCATTAGAGAAATGCAATCAAAACCACATTGAGATACCATCTCATGCCAGTTAGAATGGCAATCATTAGAGAATCTGGAGACAGCAGATGCTGGAGAGGATGTGGAGAAAAAGGAACACTTTTACACTGTTGGTGGGAGTGTAAATTAGTTCAACCATTATGAAAGACAGTGTGGCAATTCCTAAGGATCTAGAAGTAGAAATTCCATTTGGCCCAGCAATCCCATTACTGGGTATATACCCAAAGGATTATAAATCATTCTATCATAAAGACACATGCACACGTATGTTAATTGCGGTGCTGTTTACAATAGCAAAGACCTGGAACCAACCCAAATGCCCATCGATGATAGACTGGGCAAAAAAAAATGTGGCACATATACACCATGGAATACTATGCAGCCATAAAAAACAATGAGTTTGTGTCCTTTGTAGAGACATGGATGAACCTAGAAACCATCATTCTCAGCAAACTGACACAAGAACAGAAAACCAAACTCTGCATGTTTTCACTCATAGGCGGGTGATGAACAATAACACTGGGCACAGGGAAGGGAACAACACTCACAGGGCTCGGTGAGGGGAGGAGGGGAGGAGAGAGGAGGGACAGCGATGGAGGCTGGGAGGATGGGGAGGGATAACACCAGGAGAAATACCTTATGTAGGCGATGGGGACGAGGAGACAGCAAACCACCATGGCATGTATGTACCTATGCAACAATCCTGCAGGATGCAGGATGTGCACATGTATCCCAGGGCCCATGTACAATAAAAAAATAAAAAAGAATTTATGGCATCTGAATGTGTGCATGTTCACAGATTACATATATTATATACATGATTATATTATATATATATATATATTACATAATAGTAAGTATAAAGAACAAAAAGTAAATTTTATTCAAAATTATGCATATTATTCAATTGTGTGATCTTTTTAAGATTCAAAAATGAATTAAAGTTTTCATATCAGGTGAATTACTGAAAAAATATTTTGGGTTTGGTGACATCAAGGGGACAGAGGGACATTTGTCTCCTTGTTATTTAAATAGTTCTTTGAAAACTCATTAGGCTTATCAATTAAACTAGCTGCCTGGGGCTGACTACCTGGGGCCTATGGGGTGGCTGCATTTCAATGGAAAGCTTTATTCAAGATTCCACTGTGTATTCTGAGACACAACATGAGTGCCTTGGTAAGCATCTAGTGTCTAGAACTCCAAATGAAATACGAAATATCCTATTGAGGCCTTGTATTATGGCCTTAGGATATGTAGAGAAATATGTTAATTTGGTTTATATTTTGGGTATCTGTGAAACAAGAGATTCACAGAGTTCAGAGTGCAACTCATAGGCAATGGCCTAAGAGTTGTAAAAATATACATGTGAGGCCAAATGACCAGGACATCCAAGATGAATGCCTGGAGTGTGCCACTTGTGCTGACCCTTGGGTTGTGTTCCTTACCAGGAACATCGTGGTTAAGGAATTAATAGCATCAACTCTCCACTGAATTCTATCATGTATAATTGTGGCATGTCATTGGTAAAGTGTATGGCCTTATATTGCTGTGCATTCAGTTGATCCCAGGGGGCTCTCCAGATAGCCAAGGACTCTGAGAACGGGGTGACTTCCCCTAGTACCATGGGTTTTTGGCAAGAGACTGATGGTAGAGGAGGCCACCACCTTCTACAGATAGAGTATGCCAGAATGCCCAAGTTTGACTCCATCCTGTAGCAAAGAGGTCTCATAGGCATGCCAAATTCATGGGGTACTACTCCAACGCATTACAAGGCATTACAGTAGCTGGGTACAGAGGGTCACAGGCTCAAAATACAGTACAAGGCCAGGAAAGGCAGTTACTTGCATCAGAAGCCCATGGGCCACTTATGATCACCAGCAGTGGCCCACAGACTCCAGGAGGCATGAGACGAGGTTGCAGAAGCCTCTGAGGGCACTAACTGGAGTGCCTATTGATTTCATTTTGGACAGCTTCTACAGCTTTGGTTGAGGAGGTTCCCCTTTAAGATGGGCAATCCATAAGTAACACTAGTGAGATAAAAGAAATTTTGCAAAAGAATATGTTGTCTCCAGAACCCAAAAAAGACTAAAAGATGTTGGACTTGTATTAAATTTGTGGGTACTGAGAGGGTTAATAACTGTTTTTTGACAGTATCAGGGATGGAGCAGCTTTTGGTTTACCAAATAACTTTTAAGAATTTAACAGAAGTAACAAGATTTTGTAGTACGTGTGAGATAATGATCCACCCTTTTTGTGTGAGTTCCTTTGTGAGTATTTGTATGTTCTTAATGAATATGTCAAACAAATTTTCCTGGAGAAGGATGTCATCAGTGTAATATGCCTGTGTTCCTGGAGAAAGGTGGATGTCATTAAGATCTTGCCTACAAAGATTGTGTGCAGTGGCAAGGCTGCTGAGGTGTCCCTCGAGTAGCCTGGTAAAAATATATTGTGTCTCGTGGGAGGTAAAAGCAAACTGTGACTTTTAAGCTGTTGACACTGGCACCAAATGGCTTATATTAGCCTAATTTGTAGTAGCAAAATACCTATCAGTTGCTGATTGGATGGAGTCTGAAGTTTCAATACTCAGTTTGTTGGGAATAGGGGCCTGAATTGCATGGGACCATGGCATTAAGATTGCAGTAGTCTACTGTGCTGCACCATTTATTTGTTCCAAGTTTAATAACAGGCCAAATAAGCCAAATTGGGTTGTTAAATGGAGAAGCAGTGGGGATAATCACCCCTGCACTCTATAGCTGTCACATAACAAGTTTTGTTTTGTTTTTTAAATATTATTTTTACTTTTATTTATTTATTTATTTATTTTTGAGACCAAGTCTCGCTCTGTTGCCAGGCTGGAGTGCAGTGGTGCAATCTTGGCTCACTGCACCCTCTGCCTCCCGGGTTTAAGCAATTCTCCTGCCTCAGCCTCCCAAGTAGCTGGGATTACAGGCATGTGCCAGCATGCCCAGCTACACATAACAAGTTTTAATCCTCAAAGGCCCTGTTTTAAATTACATTGAGCTGTGTTAATAAGTATTTTAACTTGGGTTGGAGGCAGAAGACTCATGAGTTCCCGTTTTGTCAAGCCAATTTATAAGTGTCAAAGATTTAATCTAATTTCCATTTATTTTTCATTGGGTCAGAGCGTCCATGTCTATTGTGGGATATTTTGGGGTGATGATTGCTATGACCATGACGGGGAATTTGGGCAAGACAGTAATTCCGATGATTAAGATGAGGCTTATCTCTTTGTCCTCTTTTGTATTCCATCACTCCCCTAATATTATGGGGGATACCATGTTTAAATTAGTAAGATCCCTGGTCATAACTGTAATCTGACTCCTACTGCCAGTTGAAACCATGAAGATTTGCCAATTGGTGCATTTCTTGTTGGTGGTGGTGGTGGTGGTGGTGGTGGTTTTCCCCCTCCCCCACTATCCAGGGTTTTGTTGTTGTTCTTTGTTTCTTGCTTTGCTTTTTTTAATTCTTTTTTTTTCCCAGTGGTGGTGGTCATGGACATATTTGGTGGTGGGGTGGTGGTGAGGGATCATCTTTATGCTGATGATATTTATAAGTTTCTTCTTTCAAATTAGTATCATCAAGGTTAGGGGTTTCTCCCACAGCAATGGTTGATTTATATGGTGTAAAGACCCTGGGCTTGAGTTGGGTTTGAATTAATGGTGCCATGGGGGTACCCAGTGCCACAAGGGCAACATAGGTATTTCTCTATAACCTGGAAGATTAGGATCTTTATTGCAACAGAGACATAGTAAGCAGAGTGGTACAGGGAAAGAAAGCTAGGTTTTAATAACCCAGACTCAATAGACCAAAATTGTCTCCTGCTATCATTGCCCCACATTTTCTGTCTCATGGATGTTTTCCTCTTCTTTCCTTCTCTTTCTTTCTTTCTTTCTTTCTTTCTTTCTCTTTCTTTCTTTCTTTCTTTCTTTCTTTCTTTCTTTCTTTCTTT